GCCATTCTTAGCACCACACAACAACTCGTAAAAGAGACAAGTGAAGCCGATCCTTTGACCAAACGTGTGCAAAATAANNNNGGTATCTTCCCTTCTGCCCCAGTTATTCGTGTTTCTTATATCATCATACCTTCTATCATACCTTCACTTTTACAATTTTACCGTATTTATTTAGGTAGTGTGGTGTGCTCCTTTGAGCGGTATGACATCTTCACACTTCAACTCTCGTTCTCACCCCCTCACCACCTTCATCTTTGTGCAGATAATGTTGATCAGAGTCTGCTTTATTATTATGCAGTCCTCTTTCCAGGTCTTATCTCAGTCTCTCGCTCCGTTAAATCCATCTGCTCTACCCCTTGTTCACCTATTTCACTCGACTCCTGCCACCACATCTGCCCTACTCAAAGCGTTATTCGCCCTCCCCTTCGTCTGGGTGATTAATTCGAGGCACAAGCCTCTGCGTGTCATGATACATGTACCACATCTCTGGTACAACAGACCTACCGTCGGCCAACTAGCTCCGGTCCCCGCCATCTCTATCCTGTTTCTATCCCTAATACCAAGTCTATGATTTGAGATGCCCTTGTCGTTTGTGTGCCAACCTACTATTTGTTGTGGTACCTTTTGTTTTGGTTAGGTTTAATGATGTACCACAACATTTGTGGGTTGGCACACAAGAGACTAGGGAATAGGAAGTAATAGACTTGGTATTATAGATAAAAAGAGGATAAAAACAGTAGAAGCCAGAGCTGGTTGGTTAACAATAGTCGCGATTCAAGGATCACGTTTATGATCAAAGACGTCTATTGTTAGCCAAATAGCTTTAGTCTCCACCGCGTCTTCCCTATTTCTATCCTTGATACCATGTCCATCACATCCTACGTCCCAGTATCATGTGTGCCAACCCACAAATGTTGTGGTTCTTCTTGCTTTGATAAGGCTCACAGAAGATGTCTCCTATTTGCTTCTCATTATTGCTTTCTCATCGCCTTGCAATCTCTTTTCCTAATATTAAGAATATTACCTTGATCTAGTCGTCTTCTTTTTGCTGACCTTGCTGCTGCTGTTCTCCGAGTTTGTTTAGGCAATAGGCAGGGTTTTCGCTGATCCTGCCTTCTTCAAGTCTCCTGTTCATTAAATTTCTCTCAGTCAGTAAAGCAATGGCCTCTCGGATCTTGCGTTTTCTCGTATTTTCATCATATCCAGCCAACCTATCGGTCAATCCATTTACACTAACATCTCAGGCGAGAAGGCCGTAAGCGACTTGCTGGAGATATTGGAGCAATAAGAGGACATCCTGAAGACAGAACGGATACGGAAAGAATCGTCAACACGACTGAGCAACCCGACAGTAAGGACCAAGTATTTTACAAATATTTGGACTAACGATGGGATCTCCACTCTCACCTCTTTTGGCAAATGTGTGCATGGACAAGTTGGAAAGGGAATTCGGGAAGTCACCATTACAACCAAGATTCCTTATGCGATACTGGGATGACTACTTTGCATTTTCGTCGTATGGTAAGGCAAATTTGAATGAATTCCTCAATTGTATTAGCCAACTTCGTGAAAAAATTAGATTCACATTGGAGGTGGAGCAGGATGAACGACTACCCTTTCTGGATGTTGAAGTCATACGCTCCAGTGGGACACTCATGAGTAGACTATACAGAAAGAATTTATATGCAGGAAGAATCTTTAATTTTCTGTCCCATCATAACTACAGACTGAAAATCGGAATACTGACGAGTTTGATCATCAGAAGCTTACGACTAGCGGACAAAGAGTTCTGGGACGAGGAGTTGGACAAACTGACACGGATTTGTCTAAGTAATGGATGCCCCAGAGAATTAGTCACCCAGACGCAGGGAGGGCGAATAACGCCTCGAGTAGGACAGATGAGGTGGCAGGAGTCGAGTGAAATGAGTGAACAAGGGTTAGAGCAGACGGAGTTTACGGAGCAAGACGGAGGCTGGGATAAGACTAGGATAGAGGACTGCATAATAATAATAAAGCAGACTCTGATCAACATTCCCTGCACAAGGATGAAGGGGTGGTGGTGGTGAGAGCGAGAGTTGAAGTGTGAAGGTGTCATGTCGCTCAAAGGAGCACACCACAATATATCTAAATAAATACGGTAAAATTGTAATAGTGAAGGTATGATAGAAGGTATGATGATATAGGAAACGTGAATAACCCAGGGCAGAAGGGGTGATACCACAATTGTTTAGCACACATTTGGTCAAAGTATCGGCTTCACTTGTCTATTTGACGAGTTTTTGTATGGTTCTACAAATGGCGATACTCACTGACGATACCGGCGAAACGTTTTGGAATGTACCACGTCTACGGTTCAACTTTGT